GTTCGCATTCGGTTGGTGCAGAGATAATAAAGCTGTGCGGGACGCGCAGCGTATTTTTAATTACAGTTGCAATAAGGATAATTACTTTACGTTAATTAAAATCCGCTCCATTTATATTTTTTTTTTCCGCCGTCGCCCTCTGTGTACACTCTTTCACCCTCTCACTCGTTCTATTTCGCTTTCTCTCGCACTCTCTTTTTTTTACTGCTTTCTTTCTTTAGTTCTTTTGCATGTTGCTCGCTTCATATTCCGTGCATTTTTCGTTCGCCTTCTTCTAATTGCGAACACGGCCTGCAAGATTAAAGAATATATTTCACCGCCAAACGAAAAGAAAAGGGAGAAAATGGAAGAGAAGATAGTCATAAAAAAAAACTTCTCTTAATGTTAATCTAATCTTGCAGATGGAAGTCTTGCATAATACAAGTAAAAAAAAGGAATTACCTTTAGCCAAATGTATTTTGTTAATTACTGTATAAAGTATATACACTATTAACCTTTTCCTAATTAGAATTTCATAATCATTAAAAACTGGCGAATTTATATAAAACAGCAAAACTAATTATATTCTTCTACATTTTTTTTTGTTGAAGTATTAATAATCAAAAGCAAAACTTGAATTTATTTAACTTGCTTTTTCTTTCCGTGGATATTTGTATCATGGATGTTATTTGCTATCAATAATTTCTTATAATATTAATAACATTTTGACGTCGATATTATTAAGAAATTCGAAAAGTGAACGATATTAAACTTTGGCGTTTGCCCCTGCTGACGTTCAAAAGAAGCTGTGAAAACTTATTTTTCAGATTGCTTTCGCGAATGTTGCGTGCGAACTTTTCTAATTTGCCTGCCGATAAAGAATCCTTATACTGCGAAAATCCAAAAGATCCCTCAAAGCCGACTACTTCAATTCGTTTTTCCCTCCTTTCTTTGCTTCTTTTCCCTGAATGACTCTATTCTCGATCTGACAGAGAGAAGATAATAAAACAAGGCACTCCCATCCACACATACACATCGCAAAAAAAAAGAAGTAAACTTTTTCGCCATAATTCCGTTCTCGCTTGATAGGACGGACGATTCTCTCGGTTGGCCGAATCATAAATCCTAAAGACTTATCTCAATATTCCCGAAAAGTTTTCACCCCATGCACACATACATACACGCATTCACATTCGGCCAGGGAATAAAACGGTCGTTTATCTTGCGCGCATTAATTTTTTTCTCTTTGTTTTTGGTTTTTCAGGAAGTGCAGATCCTGAAGGCGCTGATACTCGGTGAAGAAGAACGGGGACAGAGCCAATACCAAGTGATGTGTTTCGTGTTTCACTTCTCCAAGGACGCGTTCATATCGTCGGATGCGATGTCGAAATTACGGCAGAAGAATCCTGGGACGGTGAGGACGCCGGAAGAGGATCGAGGTCGCGAGAATTACACGATGAACTACAGCGTGGATGTTACGAGGGCCGGGATCATTTCACCTCACATTCCTGAAGTTTGCTCCGAAGCAATCGGAAACACTTACACCCGGCAAGAGGACGTGCAAATGTGGTCTGCAACGCAAGGTATTTCGATATATTTACTCTTTTTTCTTGTCTCCGGAAACTTGTAAATCCCATAAATCATCCTCTAGGAATAGACTGTCTGTTTATTTTAATGAAAACCAGCGCTGTCAGAAGTTAGTGGCGAAGTTGGAGTGATGGATTTCTTCGAGTCCAGTTTACTCCTGAAAGTAATTAAAAGTGTCGCCAGGAAATTGATACGTCTCTCGATTTTATGCCGGTAAACGAAACGACTAGCGAAAGTACAAAAAAAAAAGTAGAAATAGAAGCAAGCCAATTCTGTTACCGAGTAAATTAAAGCATCGATTGTTGCCAGATACATATACAGACACTCTACCTCTTTGGGGAAATGGGGATGGTTTCGAGTTACACGCGGATTGTCTCGAGGTCTCGCATTCAACCAAACAACCAACCTCCTGTGTTCCCTTTTACAAGCAACGAGTACGACAGAAATTTTAATTGAAATCTTCCCTGGGATCGAGTGTATAAGATTACGAAACTCTCACTCGATATGCGTAGCATATCAAATTCGAATTACGCAATCCTAGTTTTGCAATGCGATAAATCTGGTTTTAATAAATATCAAAATGCGGTTGAAAGGTCGTGTGAGCGGCAGGCCACAATTCAATTAAAAAGTGCAACAGTCGCGACCGTAATTAAACGCTATTTATGCCGTTCGGTGTTGCATGTCAATCGCGAAGGCAACCCCGGGATTTGCAATTTAAATTCCGTTTCGATTTTCTGCAAATTTGTTTCGAAACCTCATCCCATTCACATCCTCCTGCTCTTCTCTGGATCACACAACTTCCAACCTAATTCAGAACAATCGAAGTGAACTCACAATTAAAAAAAAAACTTTTCAAGTCCTTTCTTTTACCAAAGAAAATAAAAAGTTTTTGATTTAATTTCTGTGTGTAAAATACAATTATTCTTTAAAAATCCATAAATGTAGCATGAAATAACTGTTTATTCTAATTTATAAAGTTCTAAATTTTTGTCGTAAAATTTACAAGAAAATAAGAATGAATGACTTAAATAATGTATCATGATTTTTTTTAATAGATTTATTTAATATCGTCACGTCATTCCTTACAGAAAAAGCTGTTTGGAAACGTGAAATGCGCGATAACAATATATCATCTGTATTTTTGCTTGAAACCTTGGAGAATCATTAATTATTTTGTTTGAAAAATACACTTTCGTTGCGTCTCCTCAACATTTCCGGTTTTTTTTGTTGTTGTTGTTTACTTCTTTCTCGGGCTCTCTGGTCTTTCCGGTGTCTGTGCGTCTGCATAATCCGTCATAAATATTTTATGGTAATGCAGATTTTCACTTTTCCGGCGTGAAGAGGAGGCGTAGGAAAGATGAATTATTAAAGGACTTCGCGAAGGGGGAGATTAGTTTATCGGGTGACGCGTGCACAGGAGATGCCCGAGGCCCCCAATCCAGACTTTTGATGGAATAACACCGAAAAACCTCGACTATCGTCGCTGGCTGTGGGCCAATGCCGCGCTCTAAATACACATTATTTTCAGCGGTGATGCCTAAGGAGAAGAGAAGAATCTTATTCCATAATCTATATACACTATCGAACTTTTGATATTCTATAACAGATATTGTATGCGTTGTTTGAACAAACATTCAAAATAATGTAATTCAAAAAAATATAATTTAAAATGTTCAATATTGAAAATCAATTCAATGTTTAACAAGATCATAATTTCAAAGCAGTTTATCAACTTTATGCAGACTTCTACGCTCTTTTCATTATTTATTTATATTCTTGTTCTCAATCTGGTTACTATATAATTGTTTAAATTAAAAAAAATGCTTGTAAAATAATTTACGCTCATTTCAAATTCGAATCGAAATGCAGCACTCTTCATACGCATAAAAATGTGTCTAATGTTTGAGATACGCAGGTGCAACTTCGTGACGATTCGCGATGTTTCGCATTTCCGAACGATTGTTTAAAAAATGCAGGTGTTCATACTGCACTCTTTTCATGCCCAAATAAGGATTTGTTTATACGTACGCACCTGCATGTGATTCATCGAGACGCAGGTGTATGCGAAGTTTTATCGTCAAATTTCTATGAAGCGCGCAAATATAGAATTTTAATAATCCGTAAATACAAAAAATTATTTATAATTACTAAACAATTAAAATGTTCACTATTTTCTTAAAGTTTACTATTTCATTTTCCTTATAAAGGGTTATATTTTAATGTATTCTACATGATGTACGAGTGAAAGTAATTTGATTCAACGAACAAGTACTTACATAAGTTACTTGGCAAATATCGCTTATCGATATTAATCAATTTGTATTACTTTCTTATCGAATGTACGAAACAACGCACTATCATTTTTGTGGCTCAATTGTTTAGATGTGGCGCAGAGTTCAAAACTCTAGTCTAATGTGGAAATGTTTTGTCACTTTTCATTGAAATAATTAGAATATTTTACTATTTTATTTTATATCTATCTTTCTGATTATATAATATTTGCTAAAATTGATGTAAAATTACTTGACAAGTTCCAAGTATTATTCATATATATTTACTACATATAAGATACTTGACATATATTGGTTACTATGTAATTGTTTAAATTTAAATAGTTTGTAATTCTATAATAAATCTTTACAACATAAGTGATTTTAATGTATAAAAAAAATGTGTTATTTACAAATAATTGAACGTGGCATAAACGAATCGCATTTCGCAAATGTTTTATCACTTTGATTTACATTAAAATTTATTAAATATTAAAAACAACGCGAAAACGTTGAAAACTCTTGCCCAATGTGCAAAATGTTTTCTCACTTTTCATTGAAATAAAAATTGATTAAACAAGTATTGAATTTAATTTTAATAATCTTTAAATATATTCATTATTTTTATAAAAATTTCCTAAAATTTATAATATATTACATGGCAAGTTACAAGTAATGTTCATATATGTTTATATACGTAATTACATCAATCAATCAAATCAATAAAAACAATTCTTTTTTGAGACTACTTCTACAAGTATTTCTATAAGTTACTTGACAAATATTGTTTAATTTATAATTATTTCA